TCATGTAGTGCCCCACACAAGAGTTGAGCTCAACTATTTAAAGGACAAATTAGAACAGTCAATATCCTTTATTACAAGTGCTTTTCAAACTAAAAACTAAATTGGTTCCCTAAAACAAAACAAAACAAATGATTATGCCATGAGAAAACTTACCTTACTAATTTTAAAAATAAACCATGAGCCAAAAGTTAATATAAAGAATAAAGTACCCACCCAATTATTCATTAATGATTACAGAAAAAAACTGTAATGATGAAAACATTAATGATATCATCCCATAAACACACAAGCATGTGCTGGAGATTTAAAAGCAGGCTCAAGAAAGCATGCGGTGTAAAGGAAATGTATAGTCACATTTCCCAACAAACCATAAAGAACCCACCGTAGACTTCAGTGAGATATGGAGCTTGTCTGACAAGTGAAGGGTAACTAATGAAGAACAGAGCTAGATCCCATTGCAACCAATTGTGTTTTGTTATGGAAAATATTTGTCCAAGTTTTTTTTTTTTTGCGTTTGTTGAGTCTCTTAAAAGTGACATAGTAAGAGCTCCCCGTATGTGACTTGATACACCTCCTGAGCCCCACGATTCAGACTGGGAATCTCTATCCGGTTCTTAAGCTGCCCACCACCCCCATCTCCCCCCGCCCCGCTGCCAAGTCATGGAAGCAGCCTCTGAAATGGACAACCTGACTACAGGAAAGGCCTATGCAAAGCAGGAAACCCACACTCAAGTTAGTGCCAGTTCTCTACCCCCGAACTTAGTGGTGTAAAACGGCAAAGCCCTTTTATGCTCCCAGATTCAGCGCGTCAGGAATTTGGACAGGACCCACCAGGAATGGCTTGTCTCTGCTCCACAATGTCTGGGTGGCTTGAGTAGCTGGGGGTGAGAATCATCAGGGATGTCTCCACTCACCCATCTGGACGCGGGTGACTCAGGCGAGCTGCGCCGGGCCGGTCCACCATCAGGGGCACCTGCACAGGCTCCGCCCACGTGGCCAGGCCCTTCTACAGAATGGCAGCTGGGAGGGGTCTCCTGAGAGGACACTTCCAGAATGTGAGCATCCAGGAGATGGAGGGCAGAAGCCACGGGAAAGGGATGGAGACCCCACCTCTTGATGGGAGAGTGTCCAAGGATGTGCAGCCATGTTTTAAAACTCCCGTAATGCTATCACGGTTTCTTTCTCCTTGTGCTTTCATTTACTTCTCGTGGACAAAATCGTCTATGAATGTAAAGTATTATCTGACATTTGGATAGTTTACTACTGATTTGGCATAAATGACTCCTCCTTAGCAAAAAAAAAAAAAAATGTATGGAATATATATAGAAAAACATGTATATACATATGTGTGTATGTATCCCTGAGTGGGGATGCAGGGATACATATATACGTGGAGGAAGAGTGAGCGTGCGAGAGCACGTTAAATTGCGCTCGGTATTTTGAAGGGTGATGGGCCAGATTCCTGCCCTCCTCTCCAGACAGCTGAAAACAGACTTGTGGCCTAAATGTGCACTTTTCTTTCTTTCCAGTCCTTCCCCGTTACATTTCTCAGAAACAGTCTGTACTTACTGCCTCTATTTTCTTACCACTTCATTCACTTATTAACTTTTAATATGTAATCCAGCTCCTGTATTTCATTCCCCTGCAATTTTCTTGGTGTCCACCAGCGACCTCCTCAAATACCAATCTAGCTGTCTTTCCTCATTCCTTGTCCTCCAAGATCTCTAAAGCATTGGCCATTTTTGAGTCCCGCCCCCCTCACTGGAAATCTTGCCCTTCCTTGGTTCTCTAGTGATACTTGCTTGATTCCCCCTTTTCACTTGCTCCCTCCCTGACCCAGGAAGCACGGATGCTGTCTGCTTGTTGTCCTTGCTTCTGTTTCTTCCCGCTCCACAGTTTGCTCTTGGCAGTCACATTCCCTCATCTCTTTGTGGAGGACACCCTCCCCTCATCTGCGATTCTGAGCCCCCTCCCCCACTGTGTTCCAGTCCCAAATTTCTGACCACCGCTGGACTGTTCTCACAGTATTTTAGATTCATCTTATCCAAAGCAGTTTCGTTATAGTTCCCTGCAAGCCCCCCTCCGTGTCCGTGTTCCTGACTGTAGCTAGCTCCCCAGGCTGGAAACCTCAGCATCTCCCCGCTTTGCCTTGCTTCCTTGCCTCTTCAGTACTTTTTCCCACCCACCTTTACCTCGTTTCACCGTCTTCTCTTGTTGGGCGGAGCTCTTTCCCGCAGGTCACTTTTCTTGATGCCTCTTACAGGCATGTGTTTGTCTGTTCCCCTCTCCTAAGTTGTAAGTTCCCCAAAGGCAAAACACATGTTCCTTTTTTTTTTTTTTTTTTGGCACATCATTCATACTCAGTACAAGTGTCATTATTGAATGGATGGACTTTGACAGTATACTGTCAAAAAATTAATCATACTGTACACCACAAACTATTAGAGTTAAGGAAAGGTTTTGCTGAGATTAAGAGGCTAACATAGCCATAGGTATGTCAAGATCTTGCCTTGTCTATTAGCTCTCCTTCAGAGTGATACCTGAAGGAACAAGACATGTGAGTAATAACAGAATTAATAATCGATACCTCTGTTGAGGGCTAGGTGCTGTTCTAGCTAGTTTAATCCTCAACAGCTCTGAGATAGGGACAGTATACCTTCCATTGCTATAGATGAAGAAACAATGACAGGAAAAGTCAAATACTACTTTATTTTTAGTGGGGTAAATACCTCGTACCCCAAACAATCCTCTGTGCAGTCTGTGTTAGAGAAGGTAATGCCTTAGGCTCCCCACAGAAGCAGGTTTCTCCTTTTCCCTTAGCCCAGTTTACCACTGATTGACCACCAAGCCCAGAGCAACTTCCAGGGGTCCCTGGCTGAGCTTAGTCATCACAAGTCCTGGAGGCAGAAAGAAGAACCAAGCGTGTGCCGACCTTTAACACACGTGCTTTTCAACGCACAGGGACAGTGTCCACTGGTAAACACGGCCCTGTCCGCTTTAGGTGCTACGTTGAATGCTAACCACTTGGGTTAGCAACCATGAGGAAAGCACTAGAAGGAAAGTGGGGAGAGTTTGCCTTTGCCCCAGTCAAACACTAAACGAGTAAATAGCAAACAGATATCCCATGGTGTGTGTGTGTCTTAATACAGTTCAAGAGTAGCCAGAGGTAAAGTAGCTGTGGTAACATGTTACCAATCAGGGAATATAAATGAAGGGGCTTGGGTATTATTCATACCATCCTTTCATCTTTCTTATAAGTTTGAAGTTTTTCAAAACAGAAAGTCAGGAACTATTTTAAAAGAGAGCTTAAAAAAAAAGAAAGAGTAATTCCAAAGGTGGGAGTCAACAATAAATACACAGGGAAGCGGTCTAAAGCCAGGAATTTTCTGGTCCATCAAGTGGGAAGTACCAGGAAAGAAGGAATGACGTAGAATTGGAGACATATGGTGCTTCTTAGGGGGAGTGCTTGGGCTGCCCAAGAGGCTAATTCAAAACTAAATTTTATCCCTGGATCCCACAGCCCTTAATGTGACCCAAACTTTCCATTACCAAATTCTGAGGATTTAAATCCTGATATTGTGTGCCTGAATCTGGAATCTGTCTCATCAGTTAAAGATCCATCCTATTGAGGCCACATGTGTCTGTGCAAGAAGTTCTTTTCAAGCCAAACTTTCGTGTCAAAAAAAAAAAAAAAAAAAAAAAACCACAGAGGGACATTTTGTTATGGTAAAACAGTTAATTCACCAGGAAGATATAGTAAGTCTAAATTTCAATGCATCTAATAAGATATCTTTCAAACACAGACAATTCTACAATCATAGTGTGAGATTTAATCACACCTTTCTCAGTAAATAATTTTAAAAAAATAAGTTAGAATATAAAACGTTTGAGGACTACCATTAACAAAAACTGACCCACACTACACCCAATAACTGCAGAATCCACATTATTTGGTGCATCTAGAACATTAGACTAAATTGATCATATGCTGAGCTGTAAGGGAAATCTCAATAAATATGAAAAGAATAAAATACAGGATAGGTTCTCTGATAAGAGTACAATTAAGGTAATAATAAGATAACCAGGAAATCATCAACTGTTTGGAAATTAACAATTATACTTTAAATACCTATGGATCAAGAATAAATCACAAAGAGAGCTAAAAAAACATTTGAAGAGAATGATAATGAACATACTACTTATAAAAACTTGTAAAATACATAAAAAATAGGAAATTGAAAAGATTAAAAGGATATAACAGCAACAAGGATATACTGTATAGCCCAGGGGATTATACCCATTATCATATAATAACCTATAATGGAATATAACCTGAAAAAATACTGAATCACTATGATGCACACCTGAAACTAACACAATATTGTAAATCAACTACACTTCAATTAAAGAAGAGAACATGATAAATACCAACAACCCATTTGCAGAAAACAAACATTTAGTACATTAATCTTCAACATTTCTTCCAAAAAAGTATCTATACAGTTTTGGTTTGTTTTTACCTTAAAAGCCTAAGAATTACACTCTTGTTTTTTTTAAAAAACTCTTTATTTTAATGACTAGAAAAATGTTCAACTTACATTTCACTTTCTGTATAACCCTTTGAGGACAGTTTCTATTATTTTTAGTCTCATTCCCCAAAGAGTATCTAGGACTGAAATAATTTTACATGTTAATTCAAAAGTAAATTTAGCTCTAGAAAGTCTTTAATACACAGTTCACAGAAGCATTATACTCTCATATATTAGAAATAAATGTTTCTTTCATAAACTCTTCCTTTACCTGACTGTTCCTGATGAGTGTTCATCAAGTGTTCCTCTTAATAAAGAGTCTGACAGCCTATAGGAATGTACACTTTCTTTTTATCTAAATTAAATAAGCTATTTAATAAATATATAAAGTGTTGTAGCACTAATTCAGATCCCTAAGAAAACTTTCTTTTCTAAAACATCACACAGAATAAATGTAGCAGAGTCACTCACCACTTGATCTATTCTTACGACTTGATTTCCCTCCAGTAAGAAGCATCTTGAGACTATTCCGAAACATGGTTGTGCTATTCTAGTATTCACAAAACTGTAAAAGAAAATGTGGGAAAACGTTAGAAAATTTGGTTTTCTATTCAAAATACTATTAGGAATTAATTTTAAATGTGCTATAAGGAATTAACTACTCTGTTTAAATATATAGTACAGAAATTTTAACTACATGAGAGAAACATTTATTTAAATAATTTAATTAAACATTGATGTTGTTTCTTAAAAATATACTATAATACTTTGAGTACCCTAAGAGACAAAGGTAGACATCACTGAGGGTACACAGAAATAGAAAACAATTAGATTGCTATAAATACAGTTTTCCCTTCCACCAAGCTCTCCATTTCTTGGACAATTTTCCCATATGCTCAATACACACACCCAAAGTTTAAGAGTTCAGAACTTAAGAATAGATGCCTATTTCCCATTGGTCAAGCCAGAATTCCGTCTCACAAGACTACTAATATACATGAGTACATCAGTATATAGATATACTACTAACCTCTTTATGTCCCGCTCCTATCAAAGGAAAATCCTGCTGACTGTGCTTTGGATTATGTCCTCTCTCACCTCAAGAACTTTTATCTAAAAGTCATCTTCCTTTTCTCTCTCACGCAGCTTTAATTTTTTTCTCTCTACTGAATCATTCCAGTCATAACATAAACATGTACATCCTAACCAAAAACAAATAAGTAAGCCCCTCTCTGTACTCCCACAAGGACCAATTACTGCTCCTATATCCTTGCTATGCACAGCAAAATTTCCCAAGTGTGAGTACTTGGCACCTGCAGCAGACTGAACAGAGCAAATGTGAATTAGAACAGAGGTTAACAGAAAATCTCCAAACCAAAGCACAGAGAAATTAAAGGTTGAAAACTACAGAAGAGTATGAGAGGCATATGGAATCCTTTGAAAGGTTCTAACATACATATCATTGAAATCCCAGAGAAAAAGAAAGAAAAAATAAGAAAGAAACGTTATATGAAGTGACATCAAGAATTTCCTAACACTGATGAGACATAAAGCCACATCTTTAAACAGCTAGGGAAAAAATAAACACACTGAAAGAAGCAACAATCAATAGACTGAGAGATAACTTTGAATAGAAATGCTGAATGGCACAAGACAATGGAATGACTGCTTAAAATTTTTGAAAGAAAAGAGGTGCTAATCAAGAAATCTATTCACAGTTTAAAATGTTTTGAAAAATGAAAATGAAATAAAGGTGATTTCAGAACAAAAACAAGGAATTTATCAGTAAAAGAAATACTAAAAGGGAGTTCTTCCAACAGAAGGAAAATAATACTAGAAAAAAACAGAAATGCAAAAAGGAAGAGCCATAGAAAAGTAAGTATATTGGCAAATATGAATGAACTATAATTGTAAAAAAATATAACATTACTAATTTGTTAAGTTTAAAATATAGAGAGATTTTAAATGCATAACGACAATGACAGAAAAGTGAGGAGTGGGGTAAACGAAGTTAAAGTGTCCAAGATATCTGTCTACATTGTGCAGGAAGTGGCAGAAGTAATAATTTACACTAGACTGCAACAACTCAAAATTCATGTAGTAATTTCTAGGATAGCCATTAAAAGCTAACTGAGGTGAGAAAAAGAATGATTAAAATATCTGACTGAACAAAAGAAGGTAAGAAGTGAGAGAAAAAGCACAGTACCTGTGGATAAAATATAAAATAAACAGTATGTTGGTAGCTTTAAACTTAAATTATATGTTATTATGTTAAATACTCTACTAAAAGGCTATTTATGGACACAGAAAGATTAAATATAAAATGATGAGAAAAGATATACCACACAAAAACCAATTAAAAAGAAGCTAGCATAGCTATGCCAATATCAAAGTAGACAAGGCAAGATATTTCTTAATAATTAAAAAGTCATACCAACAAGAAGATACCCTAATTCTAAACCTCAATGGACCCAACAACAAAGCTTAAAAATATATAAAGCAAAAATGTCCAAGACTAATAGATGATACAGACAAATCCATAATCATGTGGGAGACTAACACACATTTGTCAATAGCTACAAGATCAAGCAGACAAAAAATTCACTTAAGATATATTGAAAGAAAATTTGAACTACATAATTAACCAACTAGACTTACAAAGTATATGTATAGTATGCTCTTCTAAATAAAAAGAGAATACACAAACTATACACAAAACATATACCAAAATGGACCATATGCTGGGTTATAAAGCAAGTCTGAATAAATTTCAAAGCACTGAACTCTTTGGGAGTATATTCTCTGACTACAATGCAAATTATTACAAGTGAATAATTTTTAAAAATTGAGAAAATCCCCTACTGCTTGAAAATTAAGTGATGCACTTCTAAATAACCCATGAGCCAAAAAACGTAAATAAATCACAATTGAAATTTAAAAATATTTGCAATGAATGATAATGAAAAAATGACTTAGGGAAACATGGGATGTAACTAAAGCAATGCTTATAAATAAATGTATACCTTAAATGCAGTATTAGAACAGAAGGGTCAAAATCAATAGCTAAACTTTTATCTCAAGAAGTTCAAAAACAAACAGCAAACCAAATCCAAAGAAAGTAAATGGAAAGAAAGAGTAAAGAGTAAAAATGAGTGTAGCAGAAAACAAATCCAAAATGGATAAAATCAACAAAGTCAAACGCTGGATTTCTGAAAAGTAGCAAAATTGAAAAACCTAGTAGCAAGGCTGATCAAGAAAAACAGATGGAAATTACCAATATCAGGAATGAAACAGGGGACATCATTACAGATACTAAAGCCTTTTTCTAAATAGGAAGATATACGAACAACTTTACACCAAATTTAACATTTTACATGAAACAAATTCTTTGAAAAATACAACTTAATGAAACACAAAGTTGAGCAGAACATCTCAACTAGCTCTATCTCTATTAAAGAAAGTGAATTGATCAAAACTTTTCCCACAAAGAAAAGTACCGGGCCAGACTATTTCACTGGTGGACTCTGGCAAACATTTAAGAATAACACCAATCTTATAAAAATTCTTTAAGAAAATAAAAATAATACTTCCCAACACATTTTAAGAGGGCAACATGATCTTAATCACAAAATCTAACAGATTATAAGAAAAGACAATTACAGATTACATACCTCATGAACATCGACTCAAAAATCCTTAACGAAAGACAATGAAAACTACAAAAGGTTGCTTTAAAAAGAATTAAAGAAGACCTAAATAAGTAGAGACAGAGGCACACCTCGGAGATATTGTGGGTTTGGTTCCAGACCACTGCAAAAAAGTAAATACTACAATAAAGTGAGTCACACGAATTTTTTGGTTTCCCAGTGCATATGAAAGTTGTTTACTCTATACTGTAGTCTATTAAGTATGCAATACCATTATGTCTGAGAAAACAATATATTATATATACCTTAATTTTAAAATACTTCAATGCTAAAAAATGCTAACCATCACCCACGCCTTCAGCAAGTTATAGGGATAACATCAAAGATCACTGATCACATACAGAAAATAAACCAGTGGTTACCAAAGGGGAGAGGCAAATTAGGGGTATGGGATTAAGACATACAAACTACTGTGCATAAAATAGATAAGCAACAAGGATATACTGTATAGCACAGGGAATTACAGCCATTATCTTGCAGTAACTTTTAATGGAGTACAATCTGTAAAAATATTGAATCACTATGCTGTGTATCTGAAACCAATATAATATTGTATAAATCATCCTCAATTTTAAAAAAGATCACTGATCACAGATCACCATAACAAATATAATAAAAAATGAAAATGTCTGAAATATTGCAAGAACTACCAAATTGTGACAGAGACGTGAAGTGAACAAATACTGTTGGAAAAATGGTGCCAATAGACTTGCTCAACTCAGGGTTGCCACAAACCTTCAATTTGTAAAAAACACAATATCTGCAAAGCACAGTAAAGTGAAGCATAGTAAAACAAGGTATGCCTATATACTATGTTCACAGATTGGAAGGTTCAATATCGTTAAACTGTCAATTCTCCCTATATTGCTCTAAAGAAACAATACAATCTCAACCAAATTCCAGCAGGCATTTTTTGTGTGTGTAAATTGAGAAGTTGATTCTAAAATGCATATGGTACTGCCAAGAGCCTAGAACATCCAAAGCAATCTTGGAAACTACCAAAAAAAGCTAAAGCACTTATAAGACCTGAAATCAAGACTTACTCTATAAAGCTCCAGTAACTGTGACAGTATAGTACTGTCATAAGATTCATCAAATAGATCAATGGAACAGAATAGCTAGTGTAGAAAAAGACGTACACTTAATACTGTCATTTGTTTTCAACAAAGTCATTAATGGGTAAAGGAAAGTCTTTTCAACAAATGGTGGTGGAACAAATATATACCCATTTTTTAAAACTTAACCTTGATCTGTGTCTCACACTATACATGAAAATTAATTCAAAGTAAATCAAACATCAAACACCACATAAATGCTAAAATCATAAAGCTTTTAGAAGAAAACACAGGAGAATATCTTTATTATTTAGAGCAGGCAAAGGATTCTTAGACACAGCAAGTAATAACCGTAAAAATTCATTAAAATGTAAAAAAACATCTGCTCATCAAAAATAACATTAAGTAAATGAATAGACAAATCACAAACTGGGAGAAATTATGCACAAAACATATATCTAACACAAACATCCAAGATATATTAAAAAACACCTACAGCTCGATAATAAAGAGACAATTTAATTTTTAAATGGGTAAAAGATCTGAATAGACACTTAAAAAAAAAAAGATATATCTTCTTTTTTAACACACATATAAAAGGAGCTCAACATTCTGTCATTGGGTAAATACAAATTACAACGAGCTACCTCTATATTCCCACCAGAAGAGCTAATTTTTTAAAGCCTGACAATATCAAATATTGACCAGGATGGAGAGCAACTGAAACTCTTAATACATTGTTTTAGGAGTATAATGATGCAATTGCTTTGGAGAGT